CATCCACTTCCCACTTCTATACCGACTTGAATTATTATACACCATCATCATCCTGCTATCCCCTTCCCACCGATATCCAACTCTCCATGACTACAACAAAGCCCTCCTATTCGACCGGTGCATGGACTACATCAGCCAAATTCACCAGGTCCTAGAAAATCCCAGCGCCCTGCCCTTCCTGACATACCTGGACATCCAGCGCGTGCACCAAGTGGCTCGATTGTTTGTCGATGTCCTGTCCCGCAATTACGACAAGCTCATTAGCGCCACCGTCCCCGTGCCCCCATACGTCCCGGCTGGAACTCCAGAGCCGCCAGTTCTGGGCGATGAGGACTTGTTCAACTGCCACGCACGTGCCATCAGCTGCTTGTCCAATGCTCGCGATATGCTCAAATATTGTGATAGGAAGTGGGACGTGCATGGACATCTAGAGCAATTCGAGGACGAGTCTGCGTCCATAGAGAAAACTCTAATGGATGGCTCACTGGGCTATCTGTCGAATCAGGAGATTTATTCTCAAGACCCGTTGTCAGGGATACAGCTGGCCGGTGATGCATACCCGGGATACCACGTCGGGCTGTGAAATCATTTTCTTATAACACTTGGGATATTAATTTGGACAAGGAACTGAGCGTGATTGTTTTTGTTTTTGTGAAATACCCCTCTACCTGCTGTGCATAATGAATAAAAAATCCTACACGATTTTGTCCAGTAATGAATAAACCATGTACTGCAAGCATTTGACCAATTGGATATTGCTTCGAGCTGCAGCAGGTGCAGTATACATCGATTAATGCCTGCCACTGGAATCCTTTCCCTTTGCGTGTTGTTCGCCTATTGCCGCCTTTCAACTATTGGGCATAGTTGCCACCTACATCCCGTCAGGGGGTATGTATATCGTATATACCTCCGGGTTCTAAATTCGGGGCTCCCCTTGAAATCACGGGAGCGTTGCTTAAGAACGCTTGGAGATTGGAACTGAAGGTTATCGGGATTGGCTTTCATGTTGGCATGGGTTAGTCCTCTTTCCGTGGTGGGGTGGAAGGGGGGGGGGGTCTCCCTCTTCTGACAATCTTTAGGCTCAAGAGCAGCAGATCACTAGGCCTTCGTCAAGGCGTTCCAGTATTCCAAGAGCGTCTTCAAGGATTGAAAAGCCCTTGGATTTGACATGCACTTACTAGGCATCGAGGGTGGGTTCGACAATGCCACTTTGAGAGAATGGTAGATCCGCTCCACGATGTGCTTGCGCTCGAGTTCGAACCAGGGAGTTCCTGTGCCCACCCATTTCTTGCAATCGTACGAAGGTGCAGAGCGACCAGCAGTCAGATGCCCGATGTTACGAGGTTCATGCCTGAAGACGATTGTACCAGGGCTTCAGCTTCTTGTGGACCCTTTCTGAAACCATCCAATTGCCCCCACTAAACTCCTCAGCACCAGTCCGCACGCAGGGGATCCGACCAGGCGCCCGTGAAGGCGCTGGCAGGCTGCGGCATGTGGCCCTCGGATGAAGGGACCGGACCCCGTGGACAACGCCGGCGAACGGCGGATCCCACGGGGCGGAACAGAATGTATTTCCAAGGTCCTCCAAAGCGATCATTCTCATCATTATCTCCGCGCTTGCTCTGCATTTTGAAACTTCCTGTAGAGACCATCAAGACAGATAATCCCAATATTACTACAGAAAAGTATCAAGCAACTATTGAAGTAGAGCCTCAGAGGCTGTTTGAACTGCCATGGTTCAAGCAATTGTATGATTGCTGGACTGGATTCTATCGCCGAGACTGAACTCATCAAGAGCAGGGGGTAGTTTGCGCGACTGAATTGCGGATATGATCTTTCACGGCACATCGCTCGTAAATTTTGAATTCTTGCTCGCTGCTGATGAGCTTGTGAATAGGTCGTCGGCCTAGTTAGTACTCGAGCAGAGACGGTGACAGACGTGGTGCTTTTTCTGGTGTCAACTGGAGGTCGCTGCAGATAAACCAGTAGAGCTTTAAGTGCTGTGCTGGGCAGTCAGTCCGATGTTTCAATCATGTCGGGCAGTATCTTCCAGTGAGAAGGGGTACGGTCCCTGTAGTCAGGGTAGTCAATTGAGATGGTGTTTCGACTCTCACTGGCCGAAGAAGTTGTAGGAATAGCGTATAAACTCCATCTGTTAGGTGTGGTCTGTAAGATCCGCGATGGATTTGAACCCGACTAGTCAGAATTTGGCGAGTTCGAGACGCTTCCTTCCGAGTTACCATGGCTGGCCGACCACACTGAGTATTTTTAAACTATCAACCTTGATCAGGAAGCCCTTACCATGAACTACAGCATACTCTGGAAGTTGGCGAATATCCCGCGCCAGGACGAACTATAACCTCACGCCATTGTAGACATCATCTATCCGTACAAGCCCACTAGCTCCCTCGACATCTGCCCGGAAGAGCATATAGCCTCGCCGGCTTTGTGGGGTTCCTAGGCGAAACAGAGAGACTAGCTACGACTTGCGCCTCGTAACCCCGAGGACAGACCTTGTGGAGGCGCAAAAAGCGTGTCTCACAGACCTTTTGGCTAGTAGGATGCAAACGGGCGAGATAGTTCCGATGATGTGGGCTCCAAATGATATATGGAAATCGCGCAACTTTCATATTTGATCGGCCCGCTCAAGAAGAACAAAGGCTTTGCGTACAAAACGTCGAGTCGCGACCTCTGAAGCCGTTGTGAAGAATTATGGACACGCATTAGGGTTGGGTAGTCGAGCTAATGATTTCGCCGCCGTTGCCCATACTCATTGGGCAAGTCTCATGAAACCGTCCCTCGACGCGTCTAAGTACCTTGACACCTACTTCTCAAGAGCGCAGGCAAGGAAACTCAGGTCTCTGAGCAAACGTCTCAGAAGGTCAAGTCTGCATTGAAACGAGTCAGTTATTTGCCACCTGCAGGTTACCCTCGCATTCCAACAGTTTTAACAGAGGCATCCAGAAACCCCTGTAGATTTAATTTTCGATAGCGCATTGATAGTTTCTCGGGTTCTCCGCTCCCGAGGAAGTTAGATCGAGAGGGATCCACTCACAAGCGTGACATGCAACCAGCGGTGTCGTTGATGTCAGAATCAATCTTCTTCTTTGATCGGGTTTTCTGATATATGATTAAGCAACCGAGCTGGAGGCCCCTCAATCCATGAGAAAACCCTTGTTCCACACTCCAGCGCTCTCCAAAGAGGTACCGTGGATGCTTGGGGCACATGGGAAATCGTTCTCCTCCAGCAAGGGAGATGACTCGAGGGCGGGAACCCCCTGCGCGGAGTGTGTCCGTTTATCAAGGACTTCATCTTTGTGTAGTGTGCTGAAGGCTTCCAAGGTAGAAGAGGAAATCCTACTACCTGATGTTGGTGACCTCCAACGTTTAATTCACCTCGTGAGGAAAAATCGTGAATTGGACAGGTACCTATTTTATGGTAAGCCTACACACAAGCTATAAAATTCCTAAATTTGTAAGCTTTATCTTTCTAAAACCCCTACACAGCTAAAGACTCTGTCTGGTGCATCGTCAAAATAGGGTTAGGTAATCACAAAGGTTTAAAGGTTGGCACAAGCGGATTTAGGAATGACGCACGTGGATCTCATGTTTGGGAGGGGCATCATTTGTTTCGTGCACCACATTGGGTCCAAGAGACTTTAGCGTACTCAGCACATGGTCCATTTGATCCAACATAATCCCTGGAGGTAAAACGGTGTTCTGATGATTCTGGATCGCAAGTTCTGTCAACGGCTGCTCCAAAGACACTAACTCCACACGGAGCCATTTCAAACCCGTGGCACGGTATAGCTCTGTCTGAGGCTTGTCAGGATGACCACTTCATGCTTGTTAAGCGGTTGTATCTCACTCACTTCGTCACAATCCATGGCGTTGCGGCAGAGCTTGCACACATGTTCTTTCACCTGTGGGTGTGGCATGATGGACCTGACAGCCTCGCAGCTTCCCTCATCGTTATACCAGGGGATAGTCCGGAATGACCATCTGCTTGAGAAGTCACATTGCGTCCGGTTTGTGAATGACGGGGCCTCAAGTGTCTCTGGATCTGACACAAGACCAAATCAGGCTGCCGTCTTCGGTCTTCTCTAGCTAGGAACGTGCCACTGTGTTTGGATTACAAGGAAAGAAGATGAATCAAATCGTGAGAGTGTTCTGGGTATTTTTCAGGTATCCGTAGGCACAAGGGGGGGGGGGGGGGTGGAAGTTGAGAGATTCGGTGCTGGTGCCGAGGTCCGGGAAGGAGAAGCGGATCAATAGCATGAGATTGTCTACAACATAGAGAAACGAAGGTCAGGAAGCTTTAGGGTACTACAACATAGACACAGTGGAGAATGTACTATACAACATTAAAGGTTCAGTTCGAGCACTAGTTCACGCTAATATAGAGAAACATTTAAACAGCTTCCAGAAATAGATTAGTGTTTGGCAGAGATGTCCTATATTAGGTCAAGAACGGAGCAGCTTTGACACCCTTGACTCCGTACTCCGTACTCCGCACACGGAGTACCTCTGATGATCCCTGCTGCCGTCTCTTATCTCCAGCCTATCACACTAGCAATAATAGAAAAGACAGTAAATTTACTCTAACTTCTTCTATCTCGTCATCTGTAAAAAAAAAACAAATCAAAATTATTCCTCTTGTGCTTATCTCCGATGAAAATGTATCCAATTACCCTTCGGTACCTAGGTAGACCCAAGATTGAAGGGCGTAAGCACCTATCAGAAGAACCCCCCGAGCCCCATCGGGGATTCACCGAAAAAGCCCCGATTTTGTCTTTCTGGTAGGCCAATGGCTATCAATCTACAACAACTGATGAAGGTTTATCTTCGACTTTCTCCGCCACCTCCTGCCGTTTTGCCTCGTATCTCTCTCCGCGGTAGCAAATATCCCCTTCCTCCATGTTCAGAGGCTCTTTTCGCTTGTATCTGTTCTTCTGCTAGCCGTTTTGGCACGATGCGTGTTCTATAATCGCACAATATCGCTTCCACCAACAGCAATGTCCTCATGTCGCTTGCCGACATCCCCGGCAGCAATTTCAGCCTCGCTGATGGTTCCGTCGATGCCAGATTCTCGGAGCGTACTGCAGTCGCCTGCCTCATCGCCATTGCTTGGTACAATGCCTTGGAATTGATCGTTCTCTGCTTCACCACTTTTAAGAGATATGGCGGGTGCTACTTCTGGTGTCTCCTCATCGCCTCCTTCAGTATCATTCCGTTTGGTCTCGGATATCTCCTGATCATCTTCAACATCTATAACAACATATTCCCCGTGGCGATGGAGCTGGTTGCTTGGGTCGGGATGGTGACAGGTCAGTCGCTGGTCCTCTGGTCTCGATTGCATCTTGTCTGCCACAGCCCAGCGGTCCTCCGCGCCACTCTCGCTATGATCATCGTCAATGCAATAATTCTACACATCCCGGGCTCCGTCCTCGAGCTCGGCAGCCATTCAAACAAATCATCGCTCTTCACCCACGGGTTCAACATCTTCGAGCGCATCCAATTGGTCGGATTCTCCATCCAAGAATGTATCCTTTCCATCATCTATTCCTGGGAAGCTGTGCGACTGCTGAATCTCCGCCCAAGAGGCCACTACCGAGGCACCTTGGTCCAACTCTTGATTGTGAACGTAGTCATGATCGTGATGGACGCAGCCATTATCGGGGTGCAGTACTCGGGTCTCTTCGATATTCATGTCACTCTCAAGGCAATGGTCTACAGCGTCAAGCTCAAGCTGGAATATGCGATCCTGGGAAAATTGGTGCACATCACCGAGGTGAGTGGCAGCAGCTCGGCCCCGACCGACCTGTCGGATTTTGTGGATCTTTCGATACATCAGGCCCGCGCTACACAGCCGGACAGCGACATGTTCACGGATAATCCAGAGTACAGCCCGCAGACTCGTCGCAAGCGAATGTCCTCCAAGCACTCGTCCGCCGACCCGCTCAGACGGAGTCTCTCCGCTGCCCCGAGTCCGAGTTCGAGCTCGGACTCATAAATCCATATTTAAATAATGACTTCGGAGATGATTTGTACATAGAAATTACTCAGTAAATAATGCACGACATACACCACACTAAATCACACCGGTCGGGGGTTGAAATTGGTTCGCCAATTTGTGAGGGGAAAGTAGTCCCCCCTCACCCGTCATTGCACACCGCCGCGAACATCATGATATCGACCCTCCACGGTCCCTAAACCCACCGAATCCACCCAGATATCTTCACCCACCCATCGACCCACCTACACCCAGTTCCACAATCCAAATTACACCTCGCAATGACCACTCCAAACCCTACCCCCCTAATTTACCCCCCCCTCCCCCTGACACAACCCCAACTCACCGCCGCATTCCACACAGTCCTAGACCAAATACAAGCATACGGCCAACACAAAAAACGACCCTTCGCGGCAATCCTCCAAGCACCAGACCACAAATTCAGTTTCCTTTCTTTGAACTCTCTCTTGCACGTGCGACACGCAGAAAGAGAGCTCGCACACAACGCAGCGGACAGTCACGACTGGGCGTACCTGGCACGCTGCACACCGGTGTCGACCAGGGAGCCGTGCGCGCGACATGCATGGGCGCCATATCTACTGGGCAATTAGTCTTGATTGCTCTTGGGCATGTTCGATGCATTGTTCACGTGGTGTCTGTGTAAAACATACAACACCTTAAATCTTTTTTATCCAAATTTGATTCTGGTTCTTGGAATAAATTGAGGGTTGTATCGGTTTTGGTGGATGGTGGCTTGACGATGATCATCTAAAGATGTGATTTATTACTCTGTGAGCATCATATATTCATAATTCCACTGCCTAGAAAACTTCTGGCAGATTCAATTCCCCTAAGAGCCATATAGGATGGGTTCGAGCCCATCATTTTGCTGTAGGCGTAAGATGAATTGAATAGCTGAGAGAAGGGAACCCCCAAAGTTTCCTTTTAAGCGTCACGTGCAAGGGCTAGTAGAGAAAAGTGGCCACCGATCCATTTCCAGGACATGGCCTCCGCCGAGATGTTGACTTGGAACTATTGGCTTGGGTAGTCTTTAATTGTCTTTCGTGTGATCGCCCCCATCGACCTGCTGTAAGGAACAAAGTACATTGGTCAATCATCTTCTCAGATTCAAGATAAAAGACCTCAAGGGTGTCTAACATGGAGATACAAATGGAGACGCTATTCTCCATTAGGTTCAAGGTGGCTGCATAGCCCCATGGAGCCACACCCCTTTGTTTAGAGGTGGCTGAAAACTTGACCTCTAGTATCATAACCCGGATCTCGTCGAACATGTCAAAATTTGGCTACACGCCGCTCATAAGGATGAATACAAGCATCGTCTCCCTTATGTCACAAGATCCGAAGTGTTGACGTCAAGTTGAGCAGAGTCTGATATCGCGGACCCACATGGACCCATGGATGATGATGGAGCGCGTGTGCCAAGACCTCGATCTCGTTAACCTTGGAAGTTTGTACTCCGTAGATCATTGGGGGGGGGGATGATGGGAATGGACATTTTGGATTGGAAGCTGTGGAACTTTAGCGTGTAAAAGTGCTAAGCCTTATGGAGATTTGGAAGTGGATGACGTGGATCTAGAGCTGGGGTACGTTGTATCCATGTGAAGGTTAATATGACCTTACCATCTGACACACAAGATATGTTGCACCCAAAGCAATCCAATGAAAATACTGGAAATGGTGGCCAAAATGCAAAGGAAGACTGGGAGGGAGCAGATGTCCGTGTTGTGGCCAAAAAGCTATGCCACGACAGAATGACGTCACTGTCAATCACCAATTAGCTATAGCGTAGTTTGTGGACAGGCAAAATGTAGCTCTCTTTAGGAACACTCGGTTTGGACTTGGGATCGTTGCTTGGTTCCTTGTTCTCTCCCTCCCTCCCCCTTCTCATCATAATGGCGCTATGTCCTTAGTTCTTTTTATATTCCGTCATTCCCTCTTGAATGTTCGTCTGCCATATTTTCCTTCATTCCAGTGATACCCCTTGTTTTGTGCCTCCACAGGTCCACAGGTACAATAAATAGTTAATCATCAGTGAGAGACCCTTGTTTGCCATCAATGCAAACAGAACCTCTAACCCTGTTCACAGTTCATACATAATACTCTCCTCTAGCTATCTCATCCGCTTGCCCCCTCATCTTTGTTCTTTGATACCGACATTCATCATGTCAGTGAATGTTCCCACCAATTCAAGGCAGAAGGAGAAGGTATGTGTGACAAGGCGATCTTCAGTGCAACCACGGCCACTGACACAGAATTTGTCTAGGATATCAATCAGAAGCTCCAATTTTTTGGTATCTACCATGGTAAGTCAAACTTCCAAGCCACCCCAATTGAGCTTTTCTGTACTAACTCTCTCTACTATAGCCTTCAAGAACAGCAAGCTCCCTTCAGTACGTCGCAATCCTCTTCCGTCGCCACTAGCCTTGCCACAAATGTTGACTAGGTTTCTTCCTCCCACAGAACAAGCAATGCGATATAGCTCTGAACTCCGCCTTGAACTCCAAGGCCCTCACATCTCCATCTAAGGAACTCTCATCCGACGGAAAGACCCTTGTGGCAGATCTGCGGAATGTCATTGACGCAGCTAAGAAGATGCTTTTGGTCAAGAATGAGGGTGAACTCCTGCAAGACTTTGTGTGGCAAGCCCAGAAGGTGTCAGCTGGTAACACCAATTCTCAGCGCCCTGCTGGGCTCCCCGTTGACAAGGAGGCCGGTCAGCAAGATGCTAGCAAGGCTATTGATGGCCTGAAGACTCTGGGCACACTCATGATCACCAATGGAGAGTTTAGAAAACTACGTAAGTGAGCTTCTGTTAGCGAAACCTGAGAACACATTCTAACAACGCACAGTGAGCGATGCCATGACCCTAGGCAGGGATATTGCTGCCGATGCTTCTCAAAAAGCTGCCAGTCAGCTCCGCCCCTCAGAGGAGGAGCTTTCTCAAATTGACCAAGCTGAAGAGGAAAATGTGTGGTACGAGAAGCCCAGTCTCTCCAAGGATGACCTGAAGTCCAAATCCAAGAAGAAAAAGGCTGTATGTATCCTTGATGCGCTCTCAATTTGCACAGGCTGACACTTGCCCAGGAGAAGGGAAGCGCTGCTTCCGCTTCCGCAGCGGTTGCCGAAGAAGAGACTGGCAAATCACCGCAGGATACGAGGAAGGAATATTCCGACAAGACGAAGAACTACTTGTCTGAGAAGATTCCCAAGGAGCGTCGCGAGCAGACTATCTGGCGCCTGAAGAAGATGATCATTGAGATCCAGGGTCATGCTGACTGTATGTCATCCAGAACTACTGCATCGAGAGGAAAGAATCACTAACAAACTATGCAGACCAGCAAGCCATTGAAACCTTGTTGAGTTTGGCCGAGCAATACGCCGGACATGCCAAGGACGTCTCCAACCAGGGCGGCAGCTCAGCCCGTGACGTTCTGAAGACCGACAATGTCCTGGCTGTTCAGTACAACCTGCGAACTCTTATCGAACGCTTTGCCAACCACACCTCTCTGGACGGCTTCTTCGAGTCGCTAAACACCGTTTACCGCGATGCTGAGAAGGATCCCGAACTCCGAAACTGGTTCACAAACGTCGACAACTTGATTCGGTATGTGATTTTGAAAGCTCCTGCCCAGAAAAAAAAAAGCTGACTAGAGATAGCAAATCTCTGCGCGAGCAGGGTTTCATTATGGAAGACGAATGCAACCGCCAGTGGAACGAGATTTACGACAAGGGCCGTTACCTCCTGCGCGAGCGTTATCGCGGTCACTCCGATCGTATTGTCGACGAGGTCAAGTTCCTGGCCGACCAATTCGAGCAGGACCCTCAAAACCAGGCCCTTGCTGAGTCGATCCAGAAGCTGTTCAAGGATCTGGGCCACGACGCCAGCGGCAAGCCCACCTTCAAACCGGATCTTCTTCGGGATCTCCGCGATGTCATCATTCCCGGCATTTTCGAGAATGTCCGCTACGTTCCAATCCCCCGTATTGAGGTTTCGGATCCCATAGTGGATGTTGTGGTGGAGAACCTCTGCCTTGAGGGTGACAACCTGATGCCCAACGTTGTGGAGTTCGGCAGCGACAACTACTTCCGCTGGGGCCGTAAGAAGATTAATAACAAGCGTGATAACAAAATCATGATTTCCATGTCTGGCATCCAGATGGATCTGCGCGACGTCAGCTACTATATCAACAAGAAGGAGGGCTTCCCGGCTATCACCGACCGTGGTGTTATGGATATCTTCCTTGGTGGTGAAGGCCTCAGCATCAGGATCGCTGCTTCCACTGCCCAGAAGAACGACAATGAGCACTTCTTCAAGCTGGACAAGGTGAATGTGGGCATCAAGAACATGGACATTAAGCTGAAGAAATCCAGCCACAAGCTGCTCTTCAACACTTTCAAGCCCATGCTGTTCCGCGTGGTCAGACCTGCTCTGCAGAAGGTGGTCGAGGGCCAGATCCGTGAGGCTTTCAGAAGGGGCGACCTCTTCGCCAAAGATATTCATACCGAGGCCACGCGTGCCCAGAAAGCTGCCCGTGAAGATCCCGCGAACGCCCCATCAATCTTCTCTCGCTACGCCGATGCCGTTCGAGCTCGTACCCAAGCCAAGGCCAAGCAGGTCGAGGGCGCTGCCAAGCGTGACACTAAGGTCCAGACTCTGATGACCCTCCACGGTTCCATCTTCCCTGACGTCGAGCTTCCCGGAGCTGTCTCCACCAAGGCCACTGAGTACGCCGACCTGGCTGCCAAGGGTGAGCGCTGGGAGTCCCCCATCTTCAGCATCGGCAGCGCATCCGAGTCCACCGGCATCCCGTCTGGCGGCCCCATCATCAAAAAGTCTGCTGCCAGCACCCACGGTGCAGGTGCCGCCGGAGTTGTTTCCGCCGCAAGTGTCTCTGGCGCCACCGCAGCCGCCGCTTCCAATACTGCGAACGGCACCAACGGAAATAAGGCCTCTGAATACCAGTCCCGTGGCTTTTCCGATGAGGTTGATCAAGCTTTCGTCAATCACAAGTCCCAGAACTTGGGTGAAGCTGCTAAGCATCGTGTCAGCGGTGCCAATGACGCTGACGGCGTTACTAACGTTGCTAACGGAACTGCCATCAACAATATCGGAACCACTGTCTAAAATAAACCTGGCCAAAGCTGTCATGACATTCGCATAACGTCTTCTGTTGTCTCTTGAACTTTTTTGGAATTTTTTTTTTTTGCTAAGATTTCCCCTTGTGCACTACGGATGTTTTTCTTTCTTTTAGTACTAGTTTAGTTGACGGAAGCTTAATACATCATGTCACCGTTGTCTGCGTTGATGATTCGGAAGTAAATTCGTGCTTTGACTAAACCCTAGAGATTTACAGCAATCCAGATCCGTGGAAGATTAAACAATCTTTGAAGTCGTTCATTGTCGTCTATAAAAAAAAAGATGTGAACTGAGCTCCACTATACAAGAAACCCAGTGAAGATAAAAAGTCCCACACCTTTCTTTTGTTTCGGCGTCCACTTTCGTATAAAAATCTCGTGTCAATCTTAAATCACAAATGTCTACATGCCGTCTACATCTGATCAAAGTATTTTTGCCATCCCAATTCGCGTAACTTGGTACCCTTCAACTCCATGTTCTCAGCACGGGCAGCCTCGGCGTACGTCTCGACCTTGCGCTGGATGGCTGGGTCGAAAGAGCCAAGCACACGTGCGGCGAGGAGAGCAGCGTTGATGCTGTTATTGATGCCGACAGTGGCAACGGGGACGCCTATCACAGAGTGTTAGATATTCATCAAAAATAAATGGGTGGAATGGGGAATGAAGAAGGCGAGTAAAGGAGAAGGAACACACCACGAGGCATTTGCACAATGCTGTACAGACTATCCACGCCGTCGAGCGAGCTCCCTTTAACCGGCACGCCGATAACAGGGAGGGCAGTGTGAGCAGCTGCCATACCGGGAAGGTGGGCGGCGCCACCAGCAGCAGCGATGATCACCTTGATGCCGCGCGAGGCAGCCTTGCCCGCATACTCGGCCATGTAATCGGGCGTGCGGTGAGCAGAAGTGATCTCAACCTCAGGCTCGATACCAAAGTAATCACGCAGCAGCTTGAGACCCGGGACGAGGGTCTTGAGGTCACTGTCGGAGCCCATGATGACGGCGACGGAGGGGGCGAGCTTAGAGGGACCGGAGGGGGCAGCGTTGGTTTTGATATCGGGGCGCTGGGCGCGCATGGTGTCGACGACGTCGACGAGGGGCTGGATCAAGGTCTCGGCTTCATGCATAGTCGCGGCGGTGACGGTGACGTGGCCCATTTTGCGGCCAGGCTTTGCGGCGCCCTTGCTGTAGAGGTGGATGCTGGCGTTGGGGACGGAGAGGGCCGCTTGGGTGGCCTTGAGGTGGGAGTCAGGGGTCGCGCCACCGATGATGTTCAGCATAATTGATGGCTGGAGAAGCTCAAGACTCTTTGGTGGGATGGGCAGGTCGAGGATTGCACGGATGTGGCTGTCGAACTGCGACAGCGCGCAGCCTTCGATTGTCCAGTGGCCGGAGTTGTGGATTCGGCTGGCAAGCTCGCAGAGCATGAGACTATTGTCTTCGAGGAGGAACATCTCCACACCGAAAGCGCCTTTGCCTTCGAAGGCGGACACAGCTTTGCGGGCGAGGGCTTGCGCTTGCTGGTTGATGACGTCGGGAACGTTGCGAGCTGGCGCATACACCAGCTTACATATTGAGTCCTCTTGGACGGTCTCAACGGTGGGGTAGGAGAGGACGTCATCCTTGGTTTTGATGACCATTACGGCGAGTTCCTGTAGACAAGTTGTATTAGAAACGTGTATGATGTGATGTTCCAGCCGCAAGTGCTAACCATCTTGAAGTATGCCCATTTTTCCGAGTAAAGCGGGCGGTCCTTCAGAGCCTCGAGGGCCTCGGGGATATCTTCTTTGGAGTTGACACGGAAGTTTCCTTAAACACTGTCAACAAAAGTGCATGCCCTCTCTGCATCATGCATGACTCACCACGTCCGTCGTATGCCATGGTCTTCGACTTCAACATCATTGGGTAACCCAACTCCTCTCCAATCTGAGCCAATTCCTCGGGTGTGTTGTTCACCAACTCCCGGTGGTCGGCCATAGGAATTCCAAATTTGCGGAGGTGCTCCTTCTGGTTAAACTTGTTCTGGATTGTCCGAATAGCCTGCCAGCTGGGTTCCACTCGTACTTTCGACGCAACCTCCTCAAGAGCGTAAGTGTCGACGTGCTCAATCTCGGCGGTGATAACATCGCATGTCTCAGCCAGTTTGCGCACGGCGTCAGGCTCCTTGAAGGAGCCAGTCACATGGCCGTCGTGGGCACTGATCTGCTTGGCGGGGGAGTTGTCGGCGTCCAGGATATTGGCCTGGATGTTCAATCGGTTGGCAGACTCGACAAGCATGCGGCCGAGTTGGCCACCACCGAGGATTCCGACCTTGGGCGAGTTCCACATGGTGTCAAATCGAAGAGATAAATGGGTTAAATGATTGAGAGAGGTCAATTGAAAGATCGACGGTGCCCCTCAACTCCGAAAATTCGCGGAGAGTCACGTGGCGATATCGATAAGCTCGGGCCAATCATCAGTGTCGACTGCTGCGCCCTTGTCGCAGCTTCGACTCTCTTGTTTCTCCATGCACAGCTGACTGGACAATGTCTCTGGGTAGGTTTAGCATCACAGTCGCAGTCTCGGTCTGAGTTGCAATTAGCCTTACTGACATCAAAATTACAGACGAGGAAGCTCTCCAAACAGCCGCCAATGGCGGCCCGCTGGACTCGTACGTGAAACTGTCATGCCAGTATCTCCAAACGCTTCTAGACTAACGCGCTGATACAGAGAGAGATGGAACGGCATGGCTGGGCCACTGATTGAGCGACTAGAATACGTGCGCTATCTTTCGATGCCCCCGACCGACTTATCTGACCAGTAGTTCCAGATTGTATACAATGTGTTCCCCATGCCTCAAGCGCGCCCCGAACCCATCGGCCAGCAATCATCTCCCAACCATTCTTCTCAGGCAAACTCCATGGCACCTGAAAGCAGCAACAAGGAAAATACCTCCCCCATCGACATCCAGGCTCCATCCCAGGTAGCACGAACAGGCTCTCCCCCGTCGAGTGAGCAAGTTCCAGACCCACAGCCCCAGCCACCTAGTGCGAGTACGAATGGCCAGCTTCCACCTCCGCTTGCATCTCTTCTGAGTGCCATCCGCTCATCAATTAAATCATTCTTTGTGAATAAACCCCCACACACCATTCAGAGACTCGCAGAGCTGGTCCTCTACCCGACCAAGCACTATAGAACGTTACCCGCGTATCTACGTGCTGTCGATCGCGTTGTCTCAGTGACAAGCTCTGCAGATGTTTTCCCGTTTCAAGTGCCAGCTGTCACTAATGCTCAAACAAACGGGCTGGTGCTTCCTGACAATAGCAGCGGGGTATGCATGGCCCCGGACTTTGCCCACGGCCTCGGAAGCGATGAATCTCTGGGCGGTGCACTGCTGACTCCGATCCCGTGGTTGACCAATGCCTCGTTTGAAGGCGGGGATGCCAATGAAGACTCCGGCATACTCGTTGAGGGTACCTTTATCCACAATAACTGAGCCACTGGTTTCTTATTCGCTAATGTCTCCCCCCCCCCAGGCACTGAAACCTTACCTACACTGTCTGAGGAACAGGGTACCACAACTCTAGTACTCGCCGAAGCTAAAGAAAGCGCTGTTACTGCCTCACCAGAACCATCTGACGAGGTCCCTCACGCCCGTGGTCCAATCGTTCTCGGCGTGGAGGACATGGGTCTGCAAGATGGCAAAGACGTCGAGATGCGTCTTGCCACAGACGGTGCTGCCGATGTCCCAGATGCAGGTGCTGTCACTGCTACCCAGGCAATAGAGGAACAGGACAAAGCTGAAACCACTAGCGACAAGGACGGTGATATTGTCCTCACAGATACCACACCGAAAGAAGAGGAGGAAGCCAAGAACGACAGTCGTTCCACAGGTCTCCAAGCATTCATAGCAAAGTCTGAAGCAAGTGGTGCTTCCCCCCAAGCGCCGGACGCCGAGAAGAAAGCATAAGCGAGTGACTGGTTTTCAATCTGGATTTTTCATTTTCTCTACTGATTTTCTTGGATGGTTTTATCCTGGATTCTGGCATCATGAGTAACGACCTACAAGATTATATCGATCAATTTCCACCGAGGGGGTTTTCCAATGTCTTCACTTGACTATAAACAGCTCGAGCTTGGTGGCTTTATTCATTTGGGGGGGGGAACTTTAAAGGGATGAGATTGTACAGCGTAGTTCTACGGTCTCTACCGGTCAATTACAGGGGTCCTGCGGTGTGGTGTTTTATTCTTGCTAGATCTTTCATTTACATGTGTCTCTCTCCCAAGTGGATGCCGGTCCATGGCTATATTCAGATTTCACCTGCAGGCACAACCACAGCCCCGTTATCGGGGCTGCGGCTGGCAATGTCATGGCAGTTGGGGCATGCTATTGTGAATCGCAGCGTCTAGGCTATTCTGGCGCCGACAAATTCAGGCAACTCAAGAGGTCATTACTGATAGATTGGATTTGCCGACAATCGCTGTGATAGCCAAGTGGCAACGAAGAGATCGCCTATAATCTTCCAGGGAAAAGTTATAATGAGATGGAGAGATGACGCAGAAAACCGACGACTGGGCTTCTTATACTAACCATCGAGTTTTCTTGCCCAAATGGTACAATATAACCCCGAAGACTACCGAGTCTGGCACATCAATCACTTGGCCATCTCTACCTCGCTCCGGCACCCCGAGAGCTGATTTGCAATCCCCACCCGTCTTCATGTAGACTGCGGATTTAATCCATGGTTCCCCAGGGATATGAAAGATAACATGGCATAGAAATTATGTGCTCAGATGACCTCTGGAAGTATGGAATGTTGTCAATTAGGGCAAGCACGATCA